GATACCCTACGTTACGTCTGCTACAGTTGGCAGACTTCGTTCAGACGGTATTGATTGCGATATTTATAGCTATCAGATCATGACTAACCTCAAGTATAGACTCTGTGTTTACTGTTCATCTGTATCTGAGTGGCAGACCTAGTTCAGACGGTATTGATTGCGATATTTATAGCTATCAGATCATGACTAACCTCAAGTATAGACTCGGTGTTAACTGTTCATCTGTATCTGAGTGACAGACTTAGCTCAGACGGTATTGATTGCGATATTTATAGCTATCAGATCATGACTAACCTCAAGTATAGACTCGGTGTTAACTGTTCATCTGTATCTGAGTGACAGACTTAGCTCAGACGGTATTGATTGCGATATTTATAGCTATCAGATCATGACTAACCTCAAGTATAGACTCTGTGTTTACTGTTCATCTGTATCTGAGTGGCAGACTTCGTTCAGACGGTATTGATTGTAATATTTATAGCTATTAGATCATGACTACCCTCAAGTATAGACTCGGTGTTTACTGTTCATCTGTATCTGAGTGGCAGACTTAGCTCAGACGGTATTGATTGCGATATTTATAGCTATCAGATCATGACTAACCTCAAGTATAGACTCGGTGTTTACTGTTCATCTGTATCTGAGTGGCAGACTTAGTTCAGAAGGTATTGATTGCGATATTTATAGCTATCAGATCATGACTAACCTCAAGTATAGACTCGGTGTTTACTGTTCATCTGTGTCTGAGTGGCAGACTTAGTTCAGACGGTATTGATTGCGATATTTATAGCTCTATCAGATCATGACTAACCTCAAGTATAGACTCGGTGTTAACTGTTCATCTGTATCTGAGTGACAGACTTAGCTCAGACGGTATTGATTGCGATATTTATAGCTATCAGATCATGACTAACCTCAAGTATAGAATCTGTGTTTACTGTTCATCTGTATCTGAGTGGCAGACTTCGTTCAGACGGTATTGATTGTAATATTTATAGCTATTAGATCATGACTACCCTCAAGTATAGACTCGGTGTTTACTGTTCATCTGTATCTGAGTGGCAGACTTAGCTCAGACGGTATTGATTGCGATATTTATAGCTATCAGATCATGACTAACCTCAAGTATAGACTCGGTGTTTACTGTTCATCTGTATCTGAGTGGCAGACTTAGTTCAGAAGGTATTGATTGCGATATTTATAGCTATCAGATCATGACTAACCTCAAGTATAGACTCGGTGTTTACTGTTCATCTGTATCTGAGTGGCAGACTTAGTTCAGACGGTATTGATTGCGATATTTATAGCTCTATCAGATCATGACTAACCTCAAGTATAGACTCGGTGTTAACTGTTCATCTGTATCTGAGTGACAGACTTAGCTCAGACGGTATTGATTGCGATATTTATAGCTATCAGATCATGACTAACCTCAAGTATAGACTCGGTGTTAACTGTTCATCTGTATCTGAGTGGCAGACTTAGCTCAGACGGTATTGATTGCGATATTTATAGCTATCAGATCATGACTAACCTCAAGTATAGACTCGGTGTTAACTGTTCATCTGTATCTGAGTGACAGACTTAGCTCAGACGGTATTGATTGCGATATTTATAGCTATCAGATCATGACTAACCTCAAGTATAGACTCTGTGTTTACTGTTCATCTGTATCTGAGTGGCAGACTTCGTTCAGACGGTATTGATTGTAATATTTATAGCTATTAGATCATGACTACCCTCAAGTATAGACTCGGTGTTTACTGTTCATCTGTATCTGAGTGGCAGACTTAGTTCAGACGGTATTGATTGCGATATTTATAGCTATCAGATCATGACTAACCTCAAGTATAGACTCTGTGTTTACTGTTCATCTGTATCTGAGTGGCAGACTTAGCTCAGACAGTATTGATTGCGATATTTATAGCTATCAGATCATGACTAACCTCAAGTATAGACTCTGTGTTTACTGTTCATCTGTTTCTGAGTGGCAGACTTAGTTTAGAAGGTATTGATTGCGATATTTATAGCTATCAGATCATGACTAACCTCAAGTATAGACTCGGTGTTTACTTTTCATCTGTGTCTGAGTGACAGACTTAGCTCAGACGGTATTGATTGCGATATTTATAGCTATCAGATCATGACTAACCTCAAGTATAGACTCGGTGTTAACTGTTCATCTGTATCTGAGTGGCAGACTTAGCTCAGACGGTATTGATTGCGATATTTATAGCTATCAGATCATGACTAACCTCAAGTATAGACTCGGTGTTTTATGTTTGTAATTGTTTTTTACTATTTCAAGATTTTAATAAAAATTGCTCACGCTAAACAATCTTTAGCGAATAAAGTACGTTTATTTACACTTAGCTGTAACTATTAAACGCAATAGTGGGAAACACTGTACATAAATTAATTCAGCCTTTTCTATAATGTTTCCATTGTACACGCAAATGCATGTATAATTGAAACGAATACTGTACTAGTTTTTAAGCAGATTGCAACAAAGGAAATCAATTCCATCCACGAGAAAATCCCATCTAGATTAAAGTATAAAAGGAAGTTTTTGTCTCGAAGAAGAAACTACTTGGTATTCTTGACTGAGTGGCGGTTTGACCTTCACTTGGCTTTGAAGAAAGAACTAATCCTTAGAAGGTAGAGCTGCTTGCATTCCATATTTATTTATTCAAGTTATCGATTCACGTTAGCATACTTGTATTCTGTGTTTAGCCAATGTCAATATCCGTAACCAACCATAATTAACCATGTAAGAACTATTTCATGATCAGTCAAATAATAAATCTGATTGATAACAACACAGTAAAACAGAAATATCGGTGTAAAATGTCACCGCTTCTCTTATCGGTATGTTTAGATCGGCTGGTTACAATAGATTTGAAAATATTCGTCGTACCAAAATTATTTTATACCTATCTGAAATAGACTTGAAAATTCATTGGGAAAATGAATATATACCAATCAGTAAAAAAACTAATTGATCATGTTTCTTAAAATTCCAAAACCTCTACTGGTTCTCTAACTGCAAACTTTTACAAAAGTTACCTGAACAAGTTTAAAAACATGTTAAATCGTAGCACACGATTAATTTTATTCTTAAACCAATCAATGTACTTTTTTATGGATTCTCCTGTAAGTTCAAATATTTTTTTTTAATCCTTAAAATCATACTTATAATGCGTTTCCAATTAAATTTCCTAAAATTCAACAACCGTCCCCTATTCTATCTTGCTAAAACATAATGTTAAAATGGATAATAAATGCACAGTTCGGTACATCCTTTACAATAGTCATGATTTCAATGTTAATCCGTCTCCAATAATTAATATTCAAATATCTAGAACAATCTTACATCCAGGTTTGTAATTTGCTAGTATAATCCTACAATAATGGTTTCCAAAATTTCCAACGGTAATCAAACGAGTTTTTTTATACCTAGTTTAAAGTTCACTTCACCGAATGGTTAACTTTTAGCAACGGTACAGTTCAAACCCCATCACATCTGTAAATAAAAAGTCCTTCTTTTACTGGGTTATTTCTTATTATTATTTTATCAAGTCCGAAATATTTCTACTTACTTAAACTCTATACATGCTGTTTTCATATTCTCTCAATTTTAAGCGTAATTATAGTCAGATTCCAATACTAGTAGTTTCACGCTCTATTTCTCTACGCATTTTAGATTACACGGCGCTGCCTAGCAATATAGATACACGCGCACTGCGGCTAGCATTCCACCCCTTCAACACTTGCTGTCGCGGTATACAGTCTTGACTATTTAGTGTACAAGTAGATTTTGAATTTCGTATTACTTATTTAAAATATTTTGTTAATGTTAATAATTTGATAAATTTAGTAGAATTCAAATTGTATTATGGATATTATTATTATTAATTAATTAATTAAATTAAAATATTGTATGGTTGAGTAATTGTAAAAAATACCTATTTTGAAATAAATAAATAGTGAGTTATTTATAAGAATTATAACATTTAATGGGATAAAATATTGTTTGTGAAACAAACATTAAATCAGTAAATTGTTGAATTAAATATAAACTTATGCAAATTTGTCAATTATTGAATTCAAGAGCAAACGTGGATTGTTGTAACTAGGAAATACAATATCTTGAATATAAAAAGAGCCTTTCGACTTATTTCTTAAAGTTAATTTACGTAGCTTATAAGCACGGTTATATGTAAAGCTAATATCATCTTGCTAATTTTTTTTTTAAGCTCTAATAAAAAACGTTGGTATTTATAAAAAATTTTCTATTTGTTCAGGCTTATCTATAAAGAAGTATCTATAAATCCGCTGATACAATTTTAGAGTTTTTTCTAAATACGAGAAACAATTCGACGAAAAATAAAAGATCGACGAAAATATACTGACCATCGGTGAACTTAAAAAAACATTTTATGTTGAACAACATAAAAAAAAAAAACATTGTAGCCACAAAAGTAGGTGTAATGCTTTAGGCAAATTTCCGCAAGCAAATGCCTAAAAACTATGGCAAATTTCCATATAGATATGTAATTTAAAAACTCGATGTGAAATTAAATTATTGAGTGCGAAAAAAGGCTGTATGAATATCTAAAATATTTTTGTATTTTTATCCGTCTATACTACATATAGGAAACACTGTAGTAAGAATTAATAAAAATCTACTCATATGTCAAATACCCATATGATATCATGCTGTTTTTGAGAACCACAATTCTTACGTACACTTTTTTTCTGCCTTGAAACACGTAAAAAACAAAAAATAGAAATCAGCCAGACACAACAGCTTGTTCCGTAGATACATTATATGGAGTGTCCTGTACGTAAACATCCGCACTCCGGGAAATAGTTTATAGGTCAAAATAAAGATAAAATGGAGAATAAACATTTTAAGACACACTGTAGAAAAAAGGTATATTTTCAATGCCGATTTCCACTGACCTCAGAGGTGAGTGAATGGTGAAGATATACAGCAGATTGTGGCCGAGACTGTGCTAGGTCGGGTGTCAGTGTCGGTGTCAAATGTCCTGGTCTGTATACCCAGAGTCCTCCGTCGTCACTCAGTACACGGTACACGCCCCGCGACCATGGACTGGCTCCGGAGGAAGTTCGGGAGAAAAGGTAGGCACAGTTGAGAGAATAGGGGACGTAGTAAGTCTGGAAAATAGTTTGAATGATTTGGCTTTTATTCCTTTTTATACTCCGTATTGAGGTGTATAATTTTTGGTATTTTGGATACCAAAGTATACTATGCATAACCAGTCTTTTACTCAAAGAGTAAGTTCAAACAAGTTTACTATTAAAGCTATAAATTTTTTTAAAGTTTTCATACTAAAATAGTTTGTGGGGCTTAGTATTACAAGATAACATAGCTGATCACATTGTAATTATCAAATGGTTGGTGTTTCAGAATAATACTCATTTATACCAGCAAATTCAGTCAAGTGTTTTTCATTCTAAAGCTCGGGTACATTTTGAACATTGGGGTGTTTTCTTCCCGGTAGCGTATCTATTATATTATTAAAGTGATACAATAAAATTTTATGTAAACGGTTAAGGTTATTTACCAAATAAAAATATAGGCATATGGCACATCAAAATGAAGCTTAGAGTGTGTAGATTTGCCGAAAAGTATTTATATGGACGAACTTCCTAAGGGCTCTGCCCCACAGGCTGATTTCCAAAGGGCTACGCCTGGCATGCTTCCAAAGTTTACATGATTTAATTTTATTCAGTTAATGAAACAGCTGGTCAGTACAATAAAGTGGTGTTTGTTTATTTACTCGAAAAAGATGTTTGTGACGCTTTATGTAGATTTAGGAGGGTTATGGGTTTTAAAGAAAGTTTGTATACGTTTTGTAAATTATTGCTCAAGGTTTCATTTTGTAATTTATATAGTAAGCTAGATGTAAAGAGGCTTGACTAAAGTTGAAGAATACATTATGGTAAAACATGTCATTCGTGAAGCATCAGATCAGTATGAAGCAATTTATGTTACTGCTACACTAAGGTACGGTATGTTGTCATATTCTTTTGGACCTATTAACATACAAAGTAGGGGCTTGAAGTAAGTAGGTTTACACTTTTAAAATCAACTTATATTTTCAAACTAAATCATAGAGTTGCCGTATTTAAAAACACATCAGAAATACTTTAATAGCTCTCTAGGTCACATTTTCTTCCCGTTGCAAGGCACGGGTATAGCAGCTAGTGTTTAGTAAAATGATTTCATAAGACCTATAATTTATGCAAGTCAGTGTTATGCTTCAAAATGTGTAGATTATGGCCTACGTAAAAACAATTACTCTACAATGTATATAGTGGTTATTTATTTGGACGAATCGCATCATACTACTAGCACCGTTACTCCATGCATTATGTTTAGTCATATATGCACAGGGTGTACCTGAAGTAATTCCTTGGGGGTAGGATCAAAGAAATTTTATAAAAATAATACAGTATGTCAATTTGAACTTTCTTGCTTATTTTTACCCAAGGAACGTAAATTAACTATGTGCCCACCTTTTTGAAAACTCTGTATAAAAATCGATTAAGAATTTTTAAGCGATGTGGTAAAAATGCAACAGTTTACCTATTTAATAGAAAACCGTAATAAAAGCTTAACTATTGTTTCAATACACAGACATTCGACAACGCCCAATCATTCAGCCATTCAACAACATGTTGTTCGCTGGCGAGAAAATTACAGGCTTTACTAGTCATTATGTCAACTGAATCAATGTAATCAGTATAACGCTGTTGAATTGTAACACGGTATAATTACATCCCTGGATGGATTAATTATTTGTTAAATCAAAATAATGATGGTGTTTGGACTTCAATTGATACTTGTTCTGTTGAGTCAATTATTTGTTTTCGTGTAGTTTCTGTTACTGGAGTCGTTTTGTTTGTTTATAGCACACTTATTACACCACTAGCTATGTGATTACTAAAATATATTTATGCAAATGAAAATAAAATGTAGCAATGTACAATGTAAGTCCCACAGACATCAAATGCAACTCTGGTAAAAATTTTGGTTTTAGCGAATTTCCCATATAGGGAATAAGCTATTACCGTAGTACTCATGGTAAGACCTGGACGCGGGACCGATTTTTTTTTCGTTTTGAGGTCCCTAGAGGCCAAAAACAACATCCGTTCAAATTTATATATATATATATATATATATATATATATATTTATATATATGTGTGTCCGTTAGCACGATAACTCGAGCAAAAATGATCCGATTTTGATGAAATTTGGTACAAACGTGTAAACCTACGTTTATTCGAACAAGTTCGCGATCCAGCATGATCGGACCATGGGAACGGGGGTTTACGGGGGGTTTTATGGGGTAAAAATAGGTTTTTCCCATTTTTGACCTAAAAAACATAAAATTTAGCAATTTCTTTCCAAACCATTTTGTAGAGCTTAAAAAAACAAATAATTTAGTATATTGGAGCGTTATTATGCGCCTAATGGTTACGGAGAAAATTCAAAAAAATTGTAAATTTAAAATTCCCATGTTATTCTTATGGAGAATAAGTAAACTGTTGTAGTTTGCTTGTTTATGAACATATTTTGATCAAATTTGGAAAACGTTTTTATTTCTTACTAACTATTAAACAGTTTTACCCTCCCTGATGCAGCAAACCTAAGTACTTGTTAAACTAATTCTATTTAAATCGGGAATAAATCTTATATTTTTAAGTAGACATTTCAGTGTAAATCAAATCAGTCAAATGGAAATTCGCTTAGTCTGCAGGTTTGCTGCGGCGGGGGTATTTTTACTCAACGTTTGTGCGACTGAAATCTGCTTGACATTCAATGAAATTGGTTTTAGTTCAAAAGTCCTTTGTAGGTACGAAAATGATTTGATGTAATCGTAATATTATATTCTTACGATACTGTACGAGTCAGATTTAGGAAGTTACTGACTGTTCTGGTATTAAACACATATATATATCTGGTATTATGTACATATAAATCTGCAACGACCACTTTCCTATCATTACTGTACTTTTTTAATTTTTGATGAGATTAAGCTTTTGTTGTTGTTGTTTTTTTTATCTAGTATAAGACATGTAAGATGTTCCCATCTTTCAACAGCAATTCGTAAAAATCAACTCTAGTGTTTAGTTATAATTTAAAAATTCAGATCTAGTTATTATTTTCTTCTAAAAGAATATTACTTTTATATTACTTCGAACAATTCAATGCAGTGTTCTGAGCACAACGTTGATTTTTATAAATCTCCTATTTTATGGATACAATAATTTAATTTATCTTTGATCACGATTCTTTATTTTCTCTTGTAATTTAATAATTTTCAAGTTGGTAAATAACATATCTATAACATATGTTACTTTGCCTATCAGACACAAGAGCTACCCCCTAAATAATATAATACTAGAGGTCGTCCAGTGGTCGAAACTCGACCAAAAATATATAATGTACAGACTTCTCTATTTTCACCCCACACTGTAAATAAAACATGTGATTGGCATTTCTTCTATTTGTTTTGATTTTCTGTTTATATTTCGTTGTTATTTCGTCACCAGCATGACAACCCATAAAGCCCATGTTAATTTTATTCAAATTTCAAATTCATTTTTTGTGCTTATTTCTGAGCCTATTTTAATTTTTAAAGGGTTTCTGCACACCTACAGAAAAATATCTTTCTAACGGTATGCGTAGATTTTCCCTGCGATGCACACGAGCTGAGAAAAAAGGTTTTAAAGAAACATGCTTGCCTATTAATATATAGATAGATTACAAAATACGGGAAGCCCACGGTATCTTTCTACACACATCGTTTAAATGTCCCTGTACATCTAGTTTAAAGGCCACACCTACACGTATGAACAATAATCATAACCTTATTTTCCTCTAAAGTAAAAAACTTTGTCTGATGCCCAAAATACAAGTAAACCAAGACCACTATTTACAAAAATCAAACTGTAATTTAAACTGTTCTTCAAACCCATTTAATGCTACAAGCTCGATACCTCGCTTTTGTGGATTTGCGTAAAATCCGTGGGCAGAATCAAGAAGTTATTTCCCTCTGAATTCAAACAAAGTACAGCACTACAAAATACAAGTGGACCTTAAACAATGTCAGCAACACTTCAATTAAATACCAATCTCACAACCCATTTTAAATGCCACTCAATTTTACAATCAAAAAGTGGTTCCGCTCTCATTAAGAAATATACAGTACCAAGACTCAAAATAAATAACTCGATTCCCAGCACATCCTAAGGGTTTGGACCGTTACTCTTGTAATAAGTCCGCCGGCGTAGATAGGCTATCAATAAAATTGCCAAAACATAATTTAAATGGCCTTGACAACTCCGTTTAAATGCCCCAAGCTCGGCGATTCGCATTAGCTTATCCGTGGGGTGAACCAGAGGGGGTGGTGAGTTTGTGTAGTCATTTAAACAGTTGGATTGTCGGTTGTGGAGGAATTGGTGAAGTGAGTTGTTACGGACTGTAGTTCGATACCGGACCAGGTACAGCCAACAGCACGTTCTCTCTCTCACTCACTCTCTTCCTTGCGTCACGCGTGCAGGCGTGCCGCTACAGTCAGGTAAACACGAAGTATAACTATACTTACTTTTTATTTTATATTATTCAGCACTTTTTTGTTGACTTTTCCGATTGGTCAGTTATCAAGTATGTTACACTTTTTGGTTTTTGCGTAGCAGTCGTAAGCGGTCGTATCAGGTCAATAGTATTGTAGTATCATCGGACTTTGGAAACGTTGGAAATTCTGTCTATATGGTCAATCTTAGATACGCTGCTGTCAAATTTGTGCATTTTAAAAGAACCATTTAAATGCATTAAAAGGCTTGAACCTGAGACATAGCTACAGGATAATGTTTCCCTCTTGTTATTGTATTGATTATGTTATGTACTCAAATACATTGTCGTTTACGTTTTCAATATTTTGTCCTTTTAGTTTTGTATTTCTTAACAATTTTGCTTATTTGGTAGATGCATATTTTTTCCAATTTACTTCAGTACTCAATGGTCCAGCGGTGGTTCAAATAACTACGTTCATTTTCATTCTAGAAGTGACCACAACTTAGATGGGAATGAAATATCTAATTCTAGTCAAAG